TATATATATATATATATATATATATATATATATATATATATATATATATATATATATATATACTAGGGATAATGACTTAATCAGGTAATTTATTTTTTTATTTTGTGCACATCTAGTTATTGAAATTCTTTTGTTCATATTTGACCATTTAAGTTGTTTTTTTCCCACATGCGGTCCTTATAACCGGTTACTCCAAGTTAAACCGAAAAAAATAACTTAATAGGATCATATAATTTTCATTTTGTACACATTTAGTTCTTAATATTTTTGTACACATTTAGTCTTTATGACCAGTTTCTTTAGGTTTTGCTCACGACATCCTACGTGGGACAATTATTAATGAAGTGTTTTTATACGTTGTTCGTCCCTTACTTATATCAGTAACTTAATTCATGAATCGGTCAAATAATGTTGGTGTCTTAGTTTTCTTCAAGTAGAATATGTCTTCGGCTTTGGTTTCATTTATCTCCATAGCATACAACGAGATTCCTTGTCTTGAAAATGCAAATTCGAGTTGGGAGGAAGCAATTACATAGAATCTCGTTGTATGTTATGGAGATAGATGAAAACTTTTGCTAGTGTGTTCTTTTGTCTTGGTAGTCCAAATTCGAGTTGGGAGGAAGCAATAAAAAAGAATATCGTTGTTTGCTATGGAGATAAATGAAACCAAAGGCGAACACATCTTTTGCTTGGAGAAAACTAAAGCACTAACATTATTTAACCAATTCGTGAATCAGATTACTGATATAAGTGCGGAACGAGCCACATATGAAAACACCTCCTTGATTGTCCCAAGTAGGATGCTGTGAGCACAATCCGAAGAAACCGGTCATAAATTAAATGTGTATAAAAACATTAAAGACTAAATGTATATAAAATGGAAAAATATATTACCCTATTAAGTCGTTTTTTTTGCTTAACCTAGAGTTGCCGGTTTTAAGGATCAGATGTGTAAGAAAAATAAAAAAAATAAAAAAAAATAAAAAAAACAAGTTAAATGGTCAAATATAGACAAAAATTTTCAATGACTAAATGTATTAAGAATGAAAAATACATTATCTTATTAAGTCATTATCCCTTTATACAATTGTTATCAAGTCGTTGTAGAAAATGGTATTAAGATGGTGTTTGGGATTGCTTTTTGAAACAATTTATTAATTTATTGGGTTTTTTTTTAAAGAATTTATTGGGTTTTTTCAAAAAGCCAACAAATTAAAAAGATGTTTAGAGGGGAGAAAAAACTTTTCAATTTGAATTCTCGATAAGGTTGAAATCACACGTTTTAAGAAGTTACAAATAGCTGATTTTTCGAAAAAATCATAAGTCAATAAGTCATTTTTGGGTCATTTTACATATAAAAGCTAGCCAAACATTTTTTTAACTTATTGACTTACTAATTTTTCCCATTACAAAAACTAATCCAAACATTTTTTTATAAACGCATTAAAAAAAGTCATAAGTCATTTTACATATATAAGCTAGCCAAATATTTTTTAGTTTATTTACTTATTAACTTTTGCTGTCCCAAACACCCCTATGAGTTGATCATCTTAAAAAGGCCATTGTTTATTGTAAATATTAAAAACACAATGTATTTTTACCGTTTTATCCATTTAACCGCTGAACTATTTTACCCCATGTCAGTATAAAATGTACTAAACAACAACTTGGCAACATACTTTCACCGGTTTATCGATTTCACAACATACACTATAGATTTAAGTCTTTTAACACTAAAGTATTTTTAAAAAATATATAAATTTGGAGAGTATTCATGTTATTTTGTCTGCTTACATACAGGAATGGACACAAGGGCATACCGATTGAACTGCTTAAAAGAAAGCGATGTTTACGAAATAGACTTCCCAGAAGTCTTGGAAATGAAAGAGACGTTACTTCAAACAGCAATAAACAACTCCATAAACCCACAATCAAAATCCCTCACAAGAATAGCAGCAGATATGAGAGAAGAAGACTGGTTCAAAAAGCTTCAATCATCAGGCTTCATTCCCGAAAAAAACACAGTCTGGATTCTTGAAGGAATCATCTATTATCTCCCTCATTCACAAGCCATGGGAGTATTGAAAACAATAGCAGACAATTGCAGCCTCACAAAAACCGTTTTGTTAGCCGATTTCATGAACAAACAATCAACAACACTTTCGAGTTCTAACTTTCATTTCTACAGTGATTGGCCTGATCATTTGCTACCTACTTTAGGGTTTTCTGAGGTGAATCTTTCCCAAATTGGGGATCCGGATGCTGATTATGGGTTGTTACATGACCCGCTTAATTTGTTTAATAAATTGAGAGGGGTACCGAGGTCATTTCAGAACCACCCCGATGATGGAACGCCTTGCTGTCGGTTGTATTTGGTGCAAGCTTCCGGTTCACCTAAAACTATTTCTTCGTGAATTTTTTTTTTTTATTATATTTATATTTATATTTATATTTATACAAAGTTTTTATATTTATGTTAGGTTTGTTGGTGTTGATGTTGATGTGATTGATTCTTTAAAGGAGTAATAAAAAATATATAATGTTATCACAAGAAACACATCAATCTTGGTATTAAGAGTTTCTTGAAAACATGAGGAAAATTCAAGAAAGTAACTGAATGAGTTAAATTTCAAGACAATCTTTGACACCCTGTTCGAATTTGTTGAGGGAAGATATGGTGTCCATTAGTGCATCTGCCACCTTTTGTCTGTAGAAAAGTAACGTATAAGAAATTAACAATGTACTTTACTAATTTTACTAATATAGGAAATTTACTTTTTTTTTTTTTACCTATAATTGCAATATAAACACTATGCAAAACTGTATTACATGTTTGAAAAATTACCTGTCAGATACAAGCTGAGGGGTAGTTCCATTTGTGACACTATTAAGAGAACTAAAAGACCTGAAATTATTGTAAAAAAAATAAAGGACCAGTGTTGTTGATTGTATTTTAAAGTCGAGAAATCATACATATAACTTGTAAGAAATAATCACCTTTCAAGATCGTTGAGCTTAGTCTCAGCCTCTATTTTTGTTGGATCCTTGTCATCAAGCAGTGAAGCTGCATTTTTTAGGACCAATTTGAATGTGCAAACCTGCAAGTTGAAATGGTGATTCCATTGCATTTTTATCCATTCAGTTGAAGATTATAATAAGCAGTTTGCAAACAGAAAAGAAAAGGAAGGTGGTATTCTATTAAAAATGGCGGATTAATGTGATCAACAGCTGAATCCCCTTATAAACTCAAAGTAACAATGAGAGATGAAATAGTTCAAGTATCTTGTTAGAACTGAAGGAATTAGGGAAATAGGGAAATAGAGAAAAACCTCAACGCCAGTATTAGATTGAAAAGTAACAATGGAATTCCTTTCCTGAGGAATACAGTCTCTAGAAGCCGATATAAGCAGCCGTTGAACTTCTTCCAAGTCTTTTTCCGGTGAAGTTCCACTAGCTGCTGGCGAATCACAATTCACATCAATCAATTTCAGAACAAATTCAAATTCAATCTAATCAATACCAAAGAAATTAACCAATTTCAGAACAGTACTGATTATGAGGTATGCAGCCTGGAGACTGTTGCGAGAGGCATCAATCGGAGCTAATAGATACTTGGATGCCTTCTTCTTTTGTTCTCTCAGCCAATCCTTTGGTCCTGCTGAGATAATTTAACATATCATATCAATGAGTAGACAAATTGATCCGAAAAAACGATCGAGTAATCGAGAAGCGAGCATGAATCGAAGTTCACGTACAAATGCCGAAGGAGAATGCGGTGGCGACAGGAGGTTGATGGATGAGTGAAACTATGGATGTTAGAATGACGCCGGCGGCAGCCTTTCTGCGAGTGGTCGGAACGAGGCTGAAAGAAGATGAGGATTGAGTTTGAGAATGAGAATGAGGTGGTTGTTTGGGGTCGGAAAGTGGTGATGGTTGCGGGGACTTTGGCGGGAATACGGCGGTGAGAATGGTGGTGGAGGGGATAAGGGTAGATATTGGCGGTGGTGACATCTTTGCGGGTGGTGTTATAGAATATCGAATTATTTATTTTTGGAAATTGATGGATATTTTATTGAAAAAGAGGAGGTCGATATTTTATTGGAATTATTGATAAAACTTTGTTGTTAAAGTTTTGGTTTGTAGCTCTTTAGTTCTTTGAATTCAAATCGTGTTAAATTATGTTTTAAAGTTTTTCAGATGTGTTGATTTAGTCATTGGGACGTCTATCTCAAGCTTTATGGCTTTATGTTGCATATAGTTTAAAATATAGAGAAATTTATTTCGTATCTTTATAAACTTTAAATATCATTTTTATATTCTTACATATTTTTTAAACAACAAATCTAATCTAATCGTAACTACTCTTAAATTCCACTATATCCATGAAGGGACTTGAACCCTCAACCGTAATGAGAGAGGCAACACCGGATACCGCTTGACTAGAGGTAAAAAAAAACTACAAAAATATTAGACAAAATTATAAAAATGGTCCCTGTGGTTTGCCAATAGTAACAAACTTAGTCTCTATCTATTTTTTGATGCGTTTGGCCCTTGTGGTTTGTAAAAGTTACATTGGAGGTCCTTTTTCATAACACTGTCAGTTTGTAACCGTTTGGAGTCATTAATGTGGGGGTATATTCGTCTTTTTATGTTTGGCGCTCATTTAAGATGAGATTAGGCAGTGATACGTCATTAAGCTATCCTCTGATTAACCAGAGTCCAAGAAACCCCCCCTCATCTCCACTTCACTTTAGCTTACTGATCATCTTGACGATCTTCATCCTTCATCCCTCGCATCCGATTTTAGGGTTTATCAACTAAAAATGGTACCGTATATGTGGAATTTACGTGGTCCTCATACGATTGCACCCGACCTTGATAAAGATTACAATGAGTTGTTTAATCTTTTGTTTGATGTTTCTTTGTTTGTATATTCAAAGCTCATCGATTTTTCTTTTTCAGATGGTCACGACAATTTCTTCACTTTAACGATACATCATGGTGGATTTTTTACAAAGTTCCCTGGAGGAAAGTACGTCAAGGGAAGGTTGGCATTCTTTGACTTTTTTGACACTGATCTTTTTTCAGTTCATGATCTAAATGACATGATTCGTGAGATAGGGTATTCTAAGGATGACACAATGTACTATCATTATAGAATTCCTAATCTAGACTTAGATTTTGGATTGAAGGCTCTAGGAAATGATCAAGATGTTATATCTATGGCTCAATATGTCCCTCAAAACAGAGTGATTAATGTGTACGTTGAACATGGTTCTACAAGACTTCACACTTACTTCATGTCCCCAAGTAAAGTTGTTATTGAGCAACTGGATGATTATCCTTCTCCTGAACTTAATAGGATTAGGCCCAAGAAGAAAGGAATTGGTTCTTGTAGCAAGAAATTAGACATGAATGTCCCACTTAAAGAATTAGCTAATTAAGCACAGAGAGAAGATGATGTGTATGATTTTTCCATGTCCCTAGTTCCTTTTGAGCCAAACAAACAAGATGTGGTTAATGAGTTTAAGGGTGATTCGTATTTCCCTGTACCAAAAGAAACTGATACAATGCAAGAAATTACAGTTGATATTAATTGCCAGGATCATAGGAAAATACTAGATGATTTTGAGCCTTTTAGTAGTGATGGATATCACAATATGGGTGAGTTTGAAAGAGAGGTTGAAGTTGAAGAAGAATAGGATGAACAAGATGAACAAGGGCACACAGAGGATTCAAAAAGATGATTCAGAAGAGCATACAGAAGAAGAGGATGATTCTGACTACATTGTTGACCCAGAAGCTATTTTAGATGACTGGGAGGTTGATATGAGAGAGTTTAATAGTTGTGTGGATGAGGTTGAATGGTTTGGACAATGACAAAACATAGAATTAGATTTAAACCAAGATGATGATTTTGGTGTGATCAACAATGATGAGTTTGAAAGTGCAGGATATGAGGAAGACCTAAGGAAGAGAATGTTAAAAAACATGAATAAGAAGGTGCCTTGTTCTTCTGGGGTAGTTCATGTTACACCATTTTTTGTGGGTCAAGGTTTTAAAACCAAAAAGGATATACAGGGTCACATGAATATGCTTTCAATAAAAACAAGGAGGGCCCTACACATGGCCAAAAATGAAAAATTGAGAGTAAGAGTAAAATGTAAAGGGGTAGTTCCAGATTCCACTGGTGGTGGGCCCTCCACTGTAAGTAAAGTAACATCGAAGGGCAAAACTGTAATTTCACAAAAAGATTCTTGTCCTTTTGCTATTCAGATATCTAGATCTACCCCAGAACATGTCAAGAAGCGACCACGTCGTGGCGACGAAGACAATTGTGAACCAATGTAGATACCATGACGTGGTGGAGGACCAGCCACATCGTGGAGAAGAGGCATAACGACCAAAACGTTGTTTTTTCAAGGCTAAACATATTCAATTTCGAACAAGGCAAATTTCTATACTTTTAATACAATTTTAAAACAAAAACCCTACACATACAAACCCTAACATGCTCAAATGATAAAGTCTAAGCACAATAGACTTGAGTTAAAACGTTCTGATACCACTGATGGGTTTCGAGCCTCATTAGATAAAAAAAGCAGCGGAAACATAAACAAATATGATCTAAACTCGAAATGTATGGATCTAAACTCAAACAATCTATGTAACTTGTAGAACACAATGGTTAGAAAACATATCTTTGATTTCTTAGTTGGTTTCTTCTTCTGACGAGCCAGTGGATTTGACTAGAGAACCCAAAGGAGAGTTCCTCTTCTGTGATCACACCTAAGACACAAAGATGAAACAGATCCAAGCAATCCTCGAACTAAGATCTTCAAACAGAATCGAAATCTCGATTATGTTCTTCGGCCACGACGTGGGAAACACCTTGCCACGTCGTGGGGACAACACTTCGGGTTCCAAATTTTGGTAGCTGAAAGGTATATTTTTCAACTATCAAAACCGGATTTGGAACCCTCTAGTTATAGGGACGTGATTTGAAACCCTAGAGATTATTAGCAAATATAATAATAATTATTTAATGAATTCAAATCATTATAGTGTATTCCATATTCCATTTATTTACTACTCCATTCGTCCCATATTTATTATCCGCTTTTGACTTTTAAAATCTTTATTCTTTAACTTTGACCTTAAATATTTTTATTTGTGTTATAAATTACTTGATGAAATTTATAACAATCAAAAGACATTTAAAACACAATCATATATTTTGTATCAAGTATCACATATCAAAAACAAAAATATTTAAGGTCAAATTTGAAGAATAAAGACTCCAAAAGTCAAAAGTGTACAATAAATATGGGACGAAGGCCGTATTAATTAATTAAACTATTAATTAATTAACAAAACAAGTCCCTCAAATAAATATCTTTTTAGATCTGCTTCATTTTTGTTCTTACGTGTAACCCAAAAGGACATTGCTATTTATAGTAATATTACCGAGCTTTGATATGGCTTTAGGCACTTATCTCCATCAGTTACAATATTATTCCACATAATAAAATATTACAAGACTAACATAACATGACCACCAAATCTATGAATAATATATACGAATTCACGATCTCGTTTCCAAAGTTTTCCTATTTAAATTCAAACATATTTCACATCTTCTCTTTTAAGAGCAAGATGAAAAGGTCACAACTAAGGTTTTCATATATTATTGAAAGACATTGCATCACAACAAGTGTCCACTCGTCGATTCAAATGTTTTCGCAATTACAGATGTCATGGTCATATACATAAGTCGTAGAATACCATTTCCTCACATTTTTCCTTTTCCACATTAATATCGTTAAGGTCGAAGTGAGTGTTGTCGTGTGTGTCGAGCTCCACCTTAGCCTTCTCCTTTGCCCACCTCAACCTTTTCCCTTGCCAAGCTTTGCCGAGGAGAGCAATACACAGTTGGTTGCTGGTGTTTACCAAGCCACATTAGCAGCAGAGCCGAGGAGAGCGACCTACTCCGTTCGACCGCCTAAGAATGGTTGTTGCTAAGTTCTTAAATTAAAAAAAAAGAAAAACTTTAATGAGAAAGTTGATTTCATCTCCCTAAAATAAGTAATTATGTACAAGGCGCAAATTTAAATAAGCAAATACTATTAAAATTTTAATATTTATAAGTCTATTACATAAAAATGGTGAAAGAATTTTCTTATTGGTAAAGACACAAGGCAAACTCATTTCTATGTTCAAAAGGATGACAAAGAAGGATACCAATTCCTACTCCATTTTGAATTTCAAATCTTCATGAACCCTTCTCATAATGTATTTGTGCCGTTTCAAAACCATCGTCAACGGTAGTATTTTCATTGAAAAATACAACACTCTCTTTGATTTCAAGAAGACACGAAGAACATTATCAGTCTCTTTGATTTCAAGAACCCAGCCATGTATGAGGACAAAGAGATCCACATTCAGGTGAAGAAAACTCCGGCATTCACTGTACTGAAGAACGGTTCCATCCTCAAGAACATCTTTCTTTTACGTAAACCACCTCCCTTCTCCACCGAACAACCTGCAGCCGGAACATCATCGATAAATCACGACTCCGATGAAGAAATTTTGCTTGTTGGACGACACCCAGATTGCAACATTACTCTGGAGCACCCTAGTATCAGCAGATATCATCTCCGTATCCACTCAAATCCGTCTTCACATACGCTCTCAATAGTTGACCTATCATCAGGTAAAATCGTTTAATCTTCTTTGATTATATTGTATTGGGATTGGGGGAAATGATTCATTACTATCTATTTGATATTGTTAAAATCGTAGTTCACGGAACATGGGTGTCGGGGAAGAGAATTGAACCAGGGGTTTCCGTGAAACTGAAAGAGGGAGACACGGTGAAGATGGGTGGTTCAAGCAGGGTTTACGAGCTGCATTGGGTCCCACTGAGCCAAGCTTTCGATGTTAATGATCCATTCGTGCCTCACACCTTCAGAAAACAAGAAGAAACACAGGTATCTATCAGTATTCTTACTCTTTTCGATTAAAATTATCCGAAGTTCACGATTGTGATGCGTAAATATGTCTGCCTGCAAGCTGTTCGATGAATTGCCTCTTTATGTTTGTTCTTTCTTTTTCTTGATTTATATAGGATGAAAGTTGCTCGTATGATCTTGAGACACATTCCTCTAATGAGGATTTGGAGAATTCGGAATTTTCATTTTCCAACACGAATCTTCATTCTTCCTTGGAGAAATTGAACCCATCGACATATTCAGCACCAAACTACTTAAATTCTTCATGTGATGAGACTGAGGTAGAAGAACACATGACTCCATCTAAAACAGGCAACCAAAATGGTGAAATCTTTAGCTCAAAAGCTGGAATAGAAAATCAATCCCATGAGATCACCAATGAAGAACAGTTTTCTGTGCTTAACAACTCAAAAGCTGATGAGTTTGATACAGAACACTCAAGCCCATGGAGAACAGACAATGGAAGTGATGAAATCTTTGCCATTCTTTCAGTTCAAGCTCCAGTTATTGTCCCTGAATCTATATCTGCAACAGAGATTTCTGACAATCTAAAGAAATTAGATCAATCAAATTCATTGAGGATCTGTTCAGAATCTTCCATTGATAATGAAGAAGATGAAATCTTTAGCACTGTTTCTATTCAAGCACCAATTGTTGTCTCTGAATCTTTATCTGAAACAGAGATCTTTGATAGCATAAACAAACCAGAAGATCTTTCTGTGGCTCTTTTTGATGCTATTGAAACCCATGAAGAAGAAGAAGAAATAGCAAGAGGCAATGAGATTAATATATGCACTGATGAATCAGATTCTATGGTTTTTTGCACATCATTCATTTCAAAACAAGATGTAGATATGGGTGTCAGATTTGAATCAGTAAATCATGAAATTATGAAGAAAGAATCGAATTTTTTGGACCTTTTGGATGAAACAGACATGGATCAAGAAACAAGTTTTACTCCAGAAATATCAAGAGCCAATGAAGATTCAAGGACTCTTTTTGATAGTTTAAATGGAAAGGAAATGGAGTTTTTTACACCAGATAAAGAGAACAAGGATCCCAATGCTTGTTTAATGAAATCTTTGAGAAAATGGAAGGAAGATGAATGTAAAGGATCAAACATCTGTGCAATGTTGAAGGAAGCTGTCAGTGAGGGTAGAAAAGACATTTTTGATGTGTCAGAGTATGATGATGAAAAGGGCATTGATTCATCTAATGTAAGTTTACTTTTACTTTCATATCATGTCATTATTTATAATTTACCCTTAGTAATTGGCTCTTTATTTCATTAAAACTTTCAGGGAGGAGAAAAGAAAAGATGGAATATGATACTAGACACTAATACCCTTCTTCACAAAGAGTCTTTAAAGCATTTGAAACTCCTACAAGGCCTCAAAGGGACTCAACTTTTCATACCCAAAATCGGTAAATAAACATATAAGATTATGATGTTATTGTCATATAAATCTACTAACAATTTTCTTCAATCAGTGTTAAAGGAACTAAAGGAAATAAAGAGGCAACATGATCATGATTTCTTCAACATAACTACAAAAAAGGTTTCTTTAGCATTGAAATGGATTGACGAATGTATGATGACTACAAAATGGTGGATTCACATGGAAGATGATGAAATTGAAACAGAAATTAAAGTTCTTGAAACTGCTATTCAGTTATGCAAAGAAAGTAAAGATAAAAAGGTTATCATTCTTAGCAATGATGTTTCACTCAAGATCACATCCATGGCAGAAGTAAGTCTTTTTTTTTTTTTTACTCCATGGTTGCTTGTTTTAGTTGGTTTGTGTTCATGTAAGTGTGTTCTTTTTTTAAGGGAATTATGTGTGAAGAAGCAGAAGAGTTTTATAGGAGCTTGGTGAATCCATTTTCAGAGAGGTTTATATGGGATGGGAGTTTGGCAAGAGGACTTACTTGGTCATGTGTAGATGATGATGTTTTGAGAGAAAAATACTTGGGATTTGGTGTAAATGTGTCAAATAGGTTTAAGGGTTTGAAGTTTTTGGCACGTTTAACAACTTTATAAAATACTTTACTTGTGATTTTCCTGTTATATGATGATTCATGTATCATTAGTTTATGATTCAATGTATCTCTAGTGGTTTGAATTTGATGGGCTAAATGAAAGATATAGCATTGTATTTTCAATTATTTGTAGTATATAGTATATAGCAAGCATCCTACTTCATTTCTTGTAGCGATTTTCATATTGTACCCATTATTGTTACTTTTTATTATATTTAGTAAATACACATTATTATTATTATTATTATGGTTATTATAGTTAAAGTAACAAAATTACATAAACTAATGGATATCATGTTTGAAAACTTGATGACATTAAGATGAAGATAATAACTTTTAACATTTAAAATAAAAAACAAAAGACAAAAACAATAATAAACGAAATGGTCTATAGTATATTGATGCTTTATAATCGTAGAACAAAAAAAATACATGGTTAGTCCGAACGAAGAAAGAACGCAGATAGTCCATGTTAATTATCAAACGACAAGAACTATTAGTAAGAGCAAGAATTGTTACTAAGAGCAATTCATTATTACTAAGGACGTTGATATATTGATATATGAAGAGTCATATCATTATTATTAAGATATCTCTTCAACTTAACTAACAAAAGGTAATTTATATAAATGGTCCCTAAAGTTATTTTTTTTATATAAATGGTCCCTAGAGCTAAAGTCATTGTTAAAATTATTATTATTATTATTATTATTATTTTTTATGTCTGGGATTAAACCTATGACCTTATAGTTAAAAACATCTTGTTAGCCAAGTGGGCTAGCCCAACTTGTATTAAAGTCATTGCTATTAACATATGGATTATCGTGACGAAAAAAATAACTCAATAATAATGCAAACGAAAAATAACACATTCATAGTCCGGACGAAAACAATTACATAGGGATAGTCGGAACGAAAAAAATAACACATGGATAGTTCGAACGAAAAACAAAAATACAATTATATATAAAATCAGTTTTTCTAAAACACAAATAATCAAAAACAAAATGATATAATAATAATAATAATAATAATAATAATAATAATAAAACAAAAGACAAAAGACAAAAACAAGAAAATGACAAAAACATCAAATTAAAATGAGTTTATTTATGTTAAATCACGAGGGGTTTTTATTTAAGTCAAATCAGGGATATGCAAAACAATACTTGAAAATATAAAATAAAAGAAAGGATGTTATTTCTTGCATTTAACATGTGGTTTGATTGCTTATGTTGATCTTTCTTCCATTTTTTTTATCTGATATACGATTTCATCGAACAAGAATTTGGGCTCCTTGTGTGGAGTAAAAATCTCGCCCGATCTTCATCTATATCACCGATATCATTTTCTAATTCTCATGAACATTCATTGAGCATTTGGTTCACATTTTGTTTTTAGAAGAAATGAAATTTGTTAAAGAAATTTTAATACCAATGATATTCAATCACATTCTTTTGCTATCTATAAAAGAAACTGGAATGTAGATTATGTTAAAGAAAGAGTGTGCATGTGTTTTAACGGGTCTACATGACACTTTTGTCTTTTAATGAAACAACGAATGAAATTCAATCTCTAGGAATGATCAGATCCCTTAAACATGTTTTTTGACACCTAAACACAACACATTATGGAATTTGAGATTCTAACTCCCAAGTACCATTTAGGGTTACATGCAAGAATAACAACATACTTTCATCAATATGTTGATGACAAGATCCTACTTTCTTTTCTTCCTATTACATCATTATACCTTGAAAATTCCATTATCCAAATAGAATACAACTTTAACAGTCATAATCGGATACTTTTTCAAAATACAATGTCCTAACAAAAAAAATAAAATATTGGATGTACAATGCTATAACTAGGTAGATATTTCAAGGGATACCAAATCTTAACAAGATGAGTACAATGATATAACATAAAGAAATGAAAGTATGGTGCCAAAATACACAAATAAAAGAAAGTACATTATCATTTCTTGCATTTAGCCCTTTCATTTACTTCATATGTACTCTTATTTCTAGCACTTAGCCCCTAAATACATCTGACTTGGATTTTGTGTCAAATCAAACTTTCTAACACAATTTGATTTTGTCACAAAGCTTCACACTTTAGCAATTTACATTTCAACTTCAATGGATCTAGATCTATCACAAGCACAACAACAATAAATACATGCTTTTCAAACCACAAAATCTCATAACCATAAAAAAAATTGCTCATAATTTATCGAGTTTCATCTTGTCTTTCCACATCATTGATGTCTACTGGTTCAGGGAAAATCTCACTTGACAATCTTTTATCATTTGCACCACTCCCTTGAGAATTCTCTCTCCTTTGACCACTAACACCCTCTCTGCTCTTTTGACTTTGACTATGAACACTCCCTGAAAAGCTTTGCCTCCAACTACCAAACAAAGCAGCACTCCAAGACCTTCTAGAAGAATTATTCCTTAATCTCCCCGAACTAAAGTCTTCTTCCCTCACAACCCTAAAAGGGTTTTCCAATGCTTTTAAAATATGAGTCATTTGAGGCCTTTTTGATGCCTTTGGATTTAGACAAGATTTTGCTACTATGGCTACAGCCCACACTTCTTCCATTAAGTCTTCATCTATCACTAAAGATTGGTCAACAATCTTGGATACAAGTTCTTTGTCATAGTTGTTGATGAAAGATAATGTTTGCTCCACCCATTCATAATTATTTATTCCAATTTTGCCCGTTACAAGCTCCAGTAACACCTTTCCAAAACAATACACATCGTATGCACAAATTGGAGGTGATGATGACCCTGTTTGGTAAATAAACAAATTTACAAATATAAGTTTCAAACCGATAATGTTTCTTCATATTAGAATAGGTTATACTGTGTTTGACATGTATTGCACTGGGACTGATGTCAATCAGATCAAAATAGTACCAGAAGGAGTTGGTTCAGAGTTCCTGCAGATATACAAAGGAGAAAAAGGTATAAATATGTTTGTATGAGAAACAATAAAAAGAAAGTGAAATAAGACAATATAAAATATTATAAAAAAATAAAAGGGAGGTGAAATATTTTGTTAATAATTCTTACGATGAAATCCGCAAAAGCCTTGAGATAACATTTTGATTTTCTTCAACTCCTTGAACACAAACTTCACTCAAGCTTCCAAGACGTACATCGTATTTATCATCAAGTAAAATACTGCTTGCTTGAATATCTCTATAAATAATTAAAAAAAAAACAATAAAGTATCTGAAAAAAAAAAGTTTTTCTTCCAGCAACCCCTAAGCTGGCCCACACTGCCCTTCTTGATAAACATCATGTCAGATGTAAATCAAGTATAGAATTATTAAGTTAAAAAGAATGAAGTTGTTGAATAATACCTATGAACAATGGGAGGATTGCATTCATGATGTAGATAAGATAACCCTTCAGCAGCTCCAATAGCAATTTTTAATCTTGTGATCCAATCTAAAGATTGTAAACCAGAATCTTCCAAACTAGTAGACCTATACAAAGAATTTGAAAGATCCCCATTTGGCATGAATTTATAAACAAGAAGCTTCTCAGTTTCATGTTCCAAACAATGTCCCAAAAGTGGGACCAATCTTGTGTGCATTCCTTTACTAAACAACTCCAATTCAGACATGTAACAATCTTTTCTTGACACACGCATATCGACTCTTTTCACAACAATAGAAACTCCATCTTCTAATTTCCCTTTAAAGATGTCTCCAGTGTGTCCATGTTTCATGAGATTTGAATCACTGAAACCACTTGTGGCTTGTGAAATTTGCTCATATGAAAATGAGTCAAACATTAAGTTGACTGAAATGGTTTGACCCTTTTCGTTTCCTTCTTCTTGAACAGGTTCTACATTTGCACTTCTTTGGCTTACTGATCTTTTATTACATGGTTTAAATACTAAAAATAGTATCATAACTATGATTATAAAGATACCAAGTCCACCAAAAACTCCAGCCATAACGTATTTCAAACGGTTGTTGTTGTTGCTCTTTCTAGGGAGTTGAGGTTGCAATGGAGTTATGGGATTGGAATTGGAATCACCATTGAAAGGTAGATTTCTTAGAAGATAGAATGTTCTACAATCATCTAAGCTTCTTTGGTTTGGGATTCGAATGAAGCAGTTTCTTGATATGGAAGTTGTGTTTTCAAGATTGACATTTAAACCCTGGAGATAGTTGTTGGATAGATCGATGGAATCCAGATTAGAGACACTGGAATTCAGGATTCCGTAGAATTGATTGTTTGAGAAGTTTAAGGTGACACCAGAAGTGTTTGGAAATGCTGAGAGGTCTGGGAGATTGCCAGTGAAGTTGTTGCTTGATACATCAAGAAGGATGATATTTGGTGTGAAGTTGGAAGAAAGATTTCCACCCAAATTGTTGTTTTTAACAGATAATCTCCTCAAATTGGTTAAACGACCTAGTTCATTTGGAAATGATCCAGAGAATGAATTGAATCCAAGATCAAGGTCAACTAACTGAGAAAGGTTTCCAAGCTGTATAGGGAGAGAAGAAGCAAGACTATTGTTGGAAAGATTTAAGGATTGAAGACTAGAAAATGAACCAAAGTTCATAGGGATCGGGCCAGATAAGAAATTTGAAGATAAATCAAGAGCTGCGAGGTTCGCGAGAGCTGAAAATGAAGAGGGTATGGATCCTGTCAACATATTGAGCGACAAATTTAGAGTCGATAGTGAAGAAAGCTGCCTCAGAGAATCTGGGATAATCCCAGTAAGGGAATTATTGGCAAGAAGAAGACGATTGAGTTGATTTAGAGAACCAATTGACGAAGGAATTGGACCGAAGACTAAGCTAGACGTAAGGTCGAGCACCTGGAGTGCACTAAGATTTTGTCCTAACCAATCAGGGATTTGCCCTGGAAGAACAAATCCTGAAGAATTAAAGGTACCCAATTGGGTACATCGAACCAAGGAATCGATAGAAAAAGAAGGGGAAAGACTTCCAACACGAGTTCGTCGCAAACCGGACAAATTTATTCCGGTGACCCTGCCGTTGCTGCACTCCACCCCTGTCCAGTTGGTACATGGGTCTAACTTCCTCGGCCAGAATCTGGCTTTTATTCCTAAGGAAGCTCGAAGATCGAACAGCGCCGTTCGTTCTACACCGGAACTCAGTCGCCGCACCGTCGACTGGGTCAACACCGAGTTAACCAGCAACAGGAAGATGAAAAAGAAATGGAATAATACCTTGAGCATAGCTTCCATGATTACCCGAAACAGAAATGACCTTTAATCCATTTCAAGTGTCGAACCAGACATAATAACTCGTTCAAAACTTGAAATCTTAATCCCTGTGCGAAGTGACACTGTTTCCTGTACAGAAAGAATGACACTGCTATAATTGGAAACGCTGAAAACAAGGGCCGTTCATCATACGCCCATAACTATATGACGATTGATGTGATGGCGATGTCCGTGCAAATCATAATACCCATAACTCCTCTGTGCGCCGAGTCTGTGTGAAATTCGGGTGCAAAAAACAAACCCTTTGTTTGAATTAATTAAATGCAATTTACAAGAGGCGCGTTCTGTTGTGTATATGATAGATGTAGAAATGGGTGTAGGATATTTCTTCAAAATCTGTGTCTGTGTGTGATACGAGAGCTTTAATGGCGGAGCATTAAAGGAAGCACCATATTCTCAACAACAAAGGTGAAGAACAATAAATGGGGGTGTGGGGAAACCTCAAGAGGCTAGGAAAGAACACAACCAGATTGCTATGTGTATGTGAGAGAGAGGGGAAAGGAGGGAGAAAAGTTGCTGGTTTTGTTTTGGTGACTCGTTGACCGAAGAATGAAGGAAGAAAGTGAGCTCTTTTTCTGCATTGAGAAACAATGCTGCGTTTGCTTGTACTCTTTGGATCTTTGTTTTTGTTTGAACCCATACCAATAATTATGGTTGCCATTATCAACTAGTTTTTTCAATAGTGTTTAGAGGTTTTTAGATTTTAGTTTTTAAAATTTTTTGAAAATATTTACTTTAAAAAAATTATAATTTAAAAACTATTTTAATTAGTTTTTTTTGAAAGATTTTAGAATTTTTTTTTATTTGTAAGTTGTATATTTTAAGTAATTTTATAAATTTTAAAAACTTATAATTATTCGTGACAACCCGAAATTTCGCATTGTAAAGCCAATCAATTTAATCCAAGGTCCAACTTGCTTCGGCTACCTTTTAGCCATATTAAAGAACCGTTTAAGAGCTTCTAACCTTAGTGTAATGTATGAATGGGTGTTAGAATGTGTTTACTCGAGGTTGGAGAGATTTGACTCGGTCCGGAAAACCATTCACAAGGTATGTACGACCGTACACCACACACACACACACTCTCTCTCTCTCTCTCTCTCTCTATATATATATATA